GACCTCTCCTCCTTGCCAGACTTTGAGCAAGAGGTTTCAGGGTGATGGAAACCCAAAAAGCGCCACCTTTGCCATCCATTTTGCAATATAAAACTCATCCAGGCATGACAGTGAGACAGCCAAGCCACCCACGCGGTTTTCACTCTTCGCGCATTACAACCTGGCGTGGGGCAGGGCGGCAATTAAAGCTGTGTAACACAAGGAAGACAATCTAGTGTATGACAAGCCAATCAAAGAAACCGGGTTGAATAAGCTTTTGAAGGTGCTGGATAATTAGAGGCGTGGCTGTTTTGTAAATACTTTGGTCATTTTTTCCCCCGGGGGGTTTATTGCACTTCCAGGAAGAGAGCAAGGAACCGTATAAAAGTTCTCGGATGGGAGAGCAGCTCATTCACTCAGCTCCGTTCCCTCTCCAGAGCCTTCACAGACAAGGTAAGTTGATGCTACACTGCTAAAATTTCATTCCTGGGAAAATTTGCTGAACTGAGCTCTTGCAAAGACGGGTCTGTCTGCAGGTGCGGGGATTATCGAGAGCCAAGTTCTGCCTTAGGGGCAGGGGCAATTTTGCACTATCAAAATTGGTCTCAGAACTGCCTATGCTAAGAAAAATGTATCGTTCTTATCACCTGTAGATATATTTGGATTACTTTAGTGTTCAGGCTTCCTAGTTTTCAAAGGATGAACTGCAAATAAGAAAAATAAAGAATGGGATGTGGGAATGAATGAGAGGTGGCAGGCTGAGCTTTCATAGGAAACCTTGGGTTTAAGCTGCGAATTCCAATTTTCTTGCAAGCTGAACTCTTTGACTAAGCTCCTCTGGAAAATGTCAGGAGCTGAAGTATTACGCTGTCCTTGAAGAAATCCAGGAAAGAACTGAGAAGGCAGATTTAAGCTACGAGAGGAAAAAGCCTTTAGCTCAGCTGGCCGCATCCTGGGTGCCTTCTGCATCCTTGAAATCTCAGCTCCAGAAGATTGGTTCCAGAAGGGGGTTAGATGTGCACATAGCATATTCCTCATGTCTCAGGAAATTGGGCAGTGCCCAGTCAAGTGTCCACAGAGCACGGAGGGAGCAGAGGTTGAGGAGGACACAAGGAGGGATGAAGGCACAAGAGTCTCTTCATTTTGAGCACCTGGCTTGGAAGGTGTATTTTGCTTTAATACCATCAGTCATCAACTGTGCCAGGACCCCTCTAGGTTGCAAGTTTTTCAGATCCTTTTGCCTTCATGCCTCTTGCCGATACAGCATAAACTGACACCCATGGTGCATCTGCTCCTCCGTTACACAGCCCTGAGATAATCCCAGGGTGTCTTGCAGGAGTGCTTGTGGGACGCAGCAAAGGGAGAGCAGGGAAACAGCACATGGACCCCAGCAGAAACGGAGATTGGGGCTGTCGGGGTGGGTCATGAGGGTGTTCAGATGATGCACTCTGATCTGGCACTGGGAGATGGAGCCCCAAGCTGGGGAAATGGGACGGGCAGACAGGCAAATCCTGCCGAGCCCTGGCAGGCTCATGAACACATCCAGGAAACCTGAACCCAAAGCAGAGCGAGGAAAGCACTCTGCCCTTCATGCATCTAATGACAAAGGTCTCTCCTTCACAGGGTTCCCCACACCGACCGAAAAATGTGCTCCCGCGCAGACAGAGGCTGCCACAACACCGAGAGCTCCTCCTGCCATAGCAGCGAGAGGTCCTGCCACAGCTCCGAGGGGGTTGTCTGCCATGAAGTGAACGCCGTGCAGGAGGGGACGCCCGTGGTGGTCCTCACCCCCCAGAACCCCGTGACTACCGTGTCCGGGCAGGTGCCAGTGGCCCCC